GAGCACAGAAAACATCCATTAAGCATTTGGAGAACAAGGCAAAGAGGAGGACACTCATCAGAAGCAGAAAGTGCTTCCACATGAGCCAGAGGCCCTGGGAGATAGGCCCCCTGAGGCCAGGCCTCCTGGGAGCAGGCAGGGGGAGGGCACAGAGGGAGGGGCAGGAGGCCCTGAGCCAAGGCATAGGAAAATCCCAACAGGAGAGGCCACAGGGCAGGGACGCAGGCCTTGCTGTGCGGCCCAGCCCCAAGCAGAGCTCAGGGACCCAGAGCTGCAGAGATGACCACGGTCAGGCCCGGGAGGCAGAGGTGAGGAGGGGGTGGCCTCTCCCAGCCTGGGTGACCTGGCCAGCCCTGCCCTGCCCGCTCCGGGTCTCAGCATGTACCCAGGCAGCAGCCGCGAGTCCCGGGGAGCCGGGGGCCTGCCAGCTGTGACACACGGGCCCCCAGCGATGCTGACGACGGGACAGGTGGAGGGGTGTGCCCGTCCGCCCGGGGGCATCTCGAGGTCGCAGGCGAATCTGCCAAAGGCCTGGCTCTGGCTGAGGAGTGGCCTGAGCTCAGGTGATCTGGGCTCAGAGTGGCCTGGGGTCTTGAGATGCTGCCTAGGCAGGTGACCTCATGGGGTGGGCACCAGTCACAGCGATGACCTCATGCCCCTTCACTCCGGGAGGCCCTGCTCACATCCTGATAAAGTATTTATTATCAAGGAAGGGAGGGAGGGAGGGAGGGAGGGAAGGAGGAAGAGGGAGAGAGAGAGAAGCGGGGGTGGGGGGCTCTTCTCTGAAAGCCAGGTCACTCGGGCACTCTGAGTGCTGCTCAGCTCCTGTCACCTCCGTGCCCCTCTGCTCTGGCAGGCTAGCTGACCTCTGTGTGGATCTGACAAGCCCACCCACTCCCTGTGGGGGGTGCAGGCTGTCTGCAGCAGGCCCTGGCCCTTCCCTGACTGGCGGAGGCTGTGCGGGCCTCTGGGGGACAGTGGGTGGCAGGTCCCCCGCAGCGAGCTCACAGCCTGGCTGGAGTCCTGGCCTGGGTGTAGACGTCTCGCTGGGCCAGTGGCCTTGGGGGAGGTGGAACCAGTTTGAGGATCTCAGAGGCAGGAGTGAGTCCCCGGACTGCGCTGGGACAGCAGGGGGAGAGAAGGGGCTGCTCCTTGGAGAACTAACCCTCCTTACCCCACCCTCCCTGCCTCCCTCCTCCCAGCCCCCTCCTTTCTGAAGGCTCTCCTGCCCCAGCGGTCAGCGCGCGCTGGGCAGTGGGGCGTGAGGTGGGTGCCAGGCCACTGCCCCTTTCCCGGCAGCTGTGCTGTTCCGGGCACCGGGCCGGCCTCCTCGGAGCCAAGCTGGCACCTGAGCCTCCGCCTCCTCAGCTCTCGCCATCACTGTGCTGACACCTCCCGCCCGCCCACTCTTGCCCTGGGTAATTGCTGTCAGAGACAAACTTGGGCCAATTTCCATCGGGGCCCGTGTCTCACGGCTCCCTTCCTGTTTCCGATCAGACGTGAAACCTGGCCCCGCCGTCCTTGTCCTGGTGTAATTAGCACCGAACAAATTGCCCCGAGCGGCTGGCTGTCGCACGGGCTCCGGGCTCCGCGCAGATGTGAGCCACTGCTTTGGCCTTGGGTCCCCAACCTCCTGCTGCCCAGGATGAGCGGGGAGAGGAGCCCCAGCCGTGAGCACTCCCTCCTGTCCCCTGCTCACCGAATCGGAGTGACCCTCAAGGCTGCAGAAGGGGTGGGAGAGGAGACAGGCCCGGATTGGCCCTGAAGAAATTGGACCCAGGGACGCTGGCCTCTGGGGAGACGCAGCCTCCCCACCAGCTGGAAGGTAACTGACCCAGACAGGCAGGTGCGCCCAGGTGTGTCTCCAGCACACGGTGGGCGGGAGTCTCGCCCCAGGGAGCAGCTGGGGCAGAGGAGCAGGACCCCTCCTACTTCCCACCTGGCCCCACAACAGGGCAGGGGCACCCGCATCTAAGGGGAACCTGGCTCGAGGCGCCCGGCTGAGTGGGATCCAGTTTGGGGAGTGATGAGACCCTGTGGCTGTCTGCTGGTGTCTGATTCCGGGAAAGTAAATGTAGTGGAATTAAATCATCACAAGAGTGTGATGGAATGAGAGGCGGCGGGTGGAGGCCTGGGAGTGGGAGAGGGGCCAGAGGAGGGGAGCACCCTGGGAGGCTGGCTGGCAGGAGGGCGGCGGCCGGCAGAAAGGGAGCCCGGGGAGGGGCT